TAGATTACATTTAATACTCACAAAAATTGTGCATTGACTTATATTTTGTAGTTTCTCCTATGAAACCTTGAGCATTTGAGATTTGGCAGAGCCCTATATTTGATTATTTAGCATTTATAAGTATTAACTTGGGTATTTATTTTTAAAAATTACATGAAATTCACTCTCATATTAATTGCTTAACATTTACTTTTGCTATAGCTAGCCATAAATGTATGTCTCTAATGTTAACATCAAGATTCAAAAGACTAAGAAAACAATGAAAAAGTTAAAAAGAAAAATTAGTGGAGAAGAATGTCCCGCATTTCGTAATCAAGTTGATACGATCTGCTTTTTTTACCGAAAAGCATCTAAATTATAGCAGTTACTTTGATTATGCTCAAGTACTCATAAACAAATGCTTAATTCAATTTGGTGTTTGTTGGTCATTGGACCATTTGTAATTGTTAGGAGAATTATTGTCTTCTGCTGACATGGTATAAGCTTTAAAAGACAAACACTAATGGTGTAATTTTAAATTAAAAAAATAGCTACAGCCATGTTACAGTAGTATCTAATACATCAATTTTCAATACAAATATTTATTTATTTTATTAAGGCATTGCAAGAAATGGTCTACAACGATATCACGAGATTCACGACTCTTTCTGGTTTTCGCAACCGTTACATAATTGAAGATTTGAGAGCAGTCAATTTTGTAGGCCTAAGTGCCTAACACTTAGTCTTATATAAATTTTGACAACAATAATAAAGGAATAAAAGACTTTTTTTTTTATATAAATCAAGTAAACAAAAATTTCATTATATTATTTTTAATTTGATCGGAATAACATATAGACCCATGAGGTTTAAAGCCTAGAAAGGGTCCATGAAGGTGCAATGATTCCATTGCGCAGAATGTACACCACAAGCATCACGCAGATTATCATGTGAAGCTGTCTTATATAACTTAAAGATTAAGAAACATTTTAGTGATGAGCTGAGTTCCACCTATAAGGGTCAACACAAGTAAGACAATTTTAACTTGCCACTACTCTAAGAAGACAGAGTATTATATAAACTTGTTTACCAAGAGAATAGCCAGAAAGGCACCAACTGAGGAATAAATCTTTGGTGCTACTGTTGCACCAAGATTCAGTGCATTCCATCAATGAAAGCATTACACATCATAGGAGAGAAAAAAAATTTGATAGAAAAAAGAAAACTTTAGCTTACATGTAATATTTTTATTGGTGGGATGTACTGAATCTTTAGTGCAACAGTAGCACCAAAGATTTATTCCAACTGAGATAGAAAGGCAGCAACTCACAACAACCTATAAGAAGGTATGCCGCCTACAAAAGGCGGCACAAAGCTTACTATAAATATGAAGGGAACAATCCCATGTATGATAACCTGATTCCAATAAACTATAACATATACCTAGTATTGATATTGACTTGAATATCGAAGTGTCATTGCAAGTACCTCCAATTACTTCGATTGCGCCAGAATTTCACTACTGTCCATACACGGAGAAGTACATATCACTATAAATTCAAACCCTCTTGTTACAATTTAAGCTCCAAAGTCTTCAACCTTCAACCGTGAGTCATTTAACCCAACTAATATTAGACCGGTCAGATCACAATTCAAAAGTAAATACAACCTTACTATTAAGTTAATAATTACAAGAAGACAATACCTAAGTCACTCTAACATGTAAGAGTGGCTGTGTAATAGAACTGAGTCTAGAGTTATTGCCTTCTTTCTTGTCGAATGTCAAACTTAATTCCTGCAGAAAACAAAATAAAAGAAAGTGATTTTAGATTAAGCCAGTGATATAATGATATATTAAAATTTCAGTGTCACCAAATTTTATAAACTAACATAAAAAACAACACAACTGAAGCATCACCATATTTCATATTTCACACCTTGTCTTAGGTAATAAGAATAGACCTTGAAGTGATTCTTTACCTCTAAATCTTTCTGAACGCAGTATATTTCAAGTTTGCAACACAAAGGTATGTCCTCAAACAATTTACGCAAAAGCTAGTGTTCGCATCAGGAAAAAAGAAAGAAAAGAAAGTAAACCCTGATATTTTTATTTTTATTTTTTTATTCAAACATCATTGCTTTAAACTTGAAATTTTTTAATTATGAGTTTAGTTTCTTAATTATACAAAATATTATCAAATTAATTTATCTTTTTCGGGTAGAGAAAAATGATGGTAAATGAATCCTAATTTAAATATTAATTTGATAACATTTTGCATGATTAGAAAATTAAATACTAAGATTTGATATATTGAAGAATTAAATTAGTATAAAATAATTCAAAGAACTAAGGTATTAATGTTTTGTATTACTAAGAAACTAAAATAGTTCATAAAAATATTTCAAAAATTAAAATAATAATGCTTGTATTTTTAAATGAAAAAAATAAGGAATAAATTATTAAAAAAATTAATGGAGTAGAATGTCCTGCATTTCGTAATCAAGGTGTTATAATTTAAAAACTTACCTTGGCTCGCGACTAACGACGATTCATATAAGTTGTTATAATTTGATAGTTCATAGGGCCACGTTGCACCCATTACAACAAGGATAGATAACAAATGCATATTTTAAAGTGTTTTATTTAAATAATAAGAGTTACTTGATTAACACATGTCTTATTCAAATTGGTTTGTGTCGGTAACTCGAGATGGGACCATTTGTTTGGCGAATTTTTGTTTCATAGTTAATGTAAATATGTAATTGGTACAAAACAATAACTTACTCTAACATGTAATTGAGTTTAAAAGAAAGACATTTTAAATTTAATGAGTGGTACCCATTAAAAGCTTCATTATCTCCAAAATTAGTTGAAGGGATTTTTTACCTTTAAAATCTGAAAATAGCCATATCTGATTAAAACATCGTGATTTGTGTCAATATTGTATTTGATCTTAACTACTTTTATTAATCTTGAAAAATAATAAAAATCGTCATAATCTTTTATCAATTTTTTTCTTTTAACAAAAAGTCAAAATGGAAAAGTATTCAATTTTATTTTTCTTCATAAACGAAGAGTTTTTCTCGTCTCCAAAGTATACTTTTCTTGTTTTTGGGGCTATGCCCCTCTCCATTACAAAAAAAAAGTATACTTTTCTTATTATAGAAAAAAATAAAATAAAATTAGAAAGGAAAAGATGGAAATAAAATAGAAAAGAAAAGCCATAAAGAGAAGGCAAAGAACAAAAACCCAAAAAAAGCTCATTTCATTCTTCTCCATGAGCCCACTATCCATTTTGACCCAAATCCAACTCAAGCATGTCCTATGTTCCCCTGAACCAATTGTCCCTCGATCCAATTCACCAAATCCGATCTAAACATCGTTTGATACAGGACCCCATTCTCGCCAAGATACCCAAAAGAAGGAATTGTTTGATATCTCTTATTATGTTGTAGGAGATAATTTTATCTCCTAAATATATATTAAAGTATATGAAATTCACATTTTCTTTTTCTCTCTATTTTCTTCACATGATTCCATATAAAACCTATTTACTTTTATGTGTGTAGGAGATAATTTTATTTCTTATAAGACGAAAAACATCAAATCCAAAAAAGAAACTCTTTTCTTTAAAAAATCACACATGAAAGGTCCCTAACTTGCTACTAAGAAATGGAGTGGCGCCCTTCTTTGCTTCACTTACTTAAAAAGAGCAAGAAACCAACTTGAACTATATGTACACATGTTAAATTATTAGAAAATATATATAACATTCATCCAACAAAAATGAGACCATAACATTTGCACATGTCATGCGTTGGTGTATTTCATCTCATTGTTTAAGATAAAAATTGGATCTCACTAATCATGCTCATTTTAAGGAACTACTATCTTGTTCCGGATTTTCTGATATTCCCATGAAATTGACATACTAAGTTATCAAATATATATATATATATATATATATATATATATATATATATATGGGGAGGATTCTTTGACACAAATTTGACACCTCATCTGAGAGTCGTTAGATCAAAAAAGATCAACGATTCTAATTTGTAAGCATGTGACGCCATTGATCTTTTTTGATTTAACAGCTCTCAGATGAGGTGTCAAATTTCAAATTTGACACCGGTGTCAAAGGATCCTACCTCTCTCTCTCTCTCTCTCTCTCTCTATATATATATATATATATATATATATATATATATATGAGTTTGGTGTTTGTCATTTTAAATGACATAAGTTATGTCATTTTAAGAGAGAGATAGACACAGAAAAACAGAAATCATGGGAGAGAGAAAGTGAGTAATTTTTTTTAATTTAAAATTTAAATTTTCTGTGTCTGTATCTATCTTAAAATGACATAACTTTCTGTTATTTAAAATGACAAACACTTTTCCCTATATATATATAGGGTTTATCATCTATCATTTAACATGACCACAAAAATTTTCCTACACACACAACATTTTGTGGGGCCCGCAGCAAAAAAAAAAAAACTCTGGCACGCAAAACGAATCTCTATAACATAACACAATCACTTTTCCTACAACATAACTCTTATAAAACCCATATATATATATATATATATATATATATATATATATATATATATATATATTTGGCTATGTCATAAATTTTTAATATTTCACCAAACGTAATTAATAGGAAATAAATATTTAACAATTCAACTTAAAAAATATAAGAAGTGAAATAATCTAACTCAGTACCCTCAGGCCTCAGTAATAAAAGCTCTAAAAAATCACTTTTTTTTCATCAATCTTAAAATCATTTTTTTAAGCTTAAGCAACAGGCCGAAGATGTAAATCTAAAAACAAGCATTTAGAAGGGGGTAGGCCACTTTCTTCAGCCCAAATCACAAAAGTGAGTAAGTGACAACACAAATCCTGTCCAAAAAAAAAATAAAAATAAATAAATAGTTGAAACGCTGCGTTTCACAGTGAGGTGCGGTGCAACCGTGCAACAAGTGCAGGGTGTTGTGGTCTCAGATTTTGCAGTTAGGGCGCAACTGTCTCTGTTGTCGGAAATCTGTCATCCAGGGATCGAATTCAATCCACTTTTCTTCTTCAAATTCTTCATTTTTCAATTTGTATGATTCCATTCCCCTCAATTTTGGGAATTCTGATTGCTCCTTTAAACTTTGCAATCTCCAATTTTTATTTTTATTTTTTCCTGGTGGTTTGGAAGTATTCGATTTGTGACTTGAAAATTTAAACTTTTTGGAATTTCGATACTTGGGTTCCCTCCCAGGTACTTGAACAACAAGTGTTGAAGTGTTAGATTAGAGCAATGGAAATTCCAAGTGCTGAAGATGCTGGTGATGTTGATCATGGAGGTGTTTCCCCCAATGGAGAGGCAATTGGTGATCTGAGTAATGGTACCACCTCAAAGTTAACAAACCTTGAATTGAGTCTCGCATGTTTCTCTGAGAAAGTTGCAAACTTGAGCATTTTTGTGATGCATTTGGAGACTCTGGAGGGTGAATTGGAGGCTTTGGTTTTGGATAAAGAGAATATGGATATGGATTGTTTTGGAAAGGGTATGGAGTTTGATCTGTTATGTGGGTTGTTGGATTCTGAGGCCAGAGAATTGGAGGGGTTCTTGGACACCCTTCATGCTGAGATTGATGATGCTGGAGAGAGGGTGTCCTCTTGCAACCTCTGGCAAGACAAGTTGCGTGATTGTGAACAATGTTTGAAGCAGTCCGAGGATCAGTTTTCTGAGATTAAGAAGCAATCTGTTAGATTTCAGAGGACTTTGTCTTCTTATAAGAGGGAAGAAAATGGTATGCTGAGGATCTCATTGATTGATTTATTTATGTTAGTTTTTTTCGGTTACACATTGATTGTTTGATTTATTTATTCTACAATTTTGTCGTTTTCATTAAGTTGTTAGAAAAGGTTGTTCTTTTATCTCTGTCCCATTATCTGGGGTCCACTTCAATTTCCAAGTGAAATTGTTTGCTTAATGCAGTGGGAATTGCTCTCGTGCATTGATGTATTTTTTTTTCTTTTCTGAAAAAAAAAAGAAATAATTAAGAAAAAAAGAGAGAAAGAAATCTGAAAAACAATGAACTGTCTGGCTCAAAATGGCTGCTTCTTGATTAATGTATGAACAATAAGAATATCTTTATCTGAATAATTTTCCATTTCTGATAAATGTTTTTTTATCCTTTTTTTTGGGTTGTTTTGGGGGGGGGGGGGGGGGGGGGGGGGGGGGGGGGGGGGGGGGCGGGGGGGGGGGGGGGGGGGGGGGGGGGGGGGGGGTTTTCAATGATGACAGATAATGTTGAAGAGGGTGAGATCGTTAGGGAGGATGATCAATCTTTGAATGTAAACACAGTAATAAAAATGCAAACAATTGAGCAACAAAGACATATTCTGAGGATGCTAGAGAAATCTTTAGCAAATGAAATGGATCTTGAGAAGAATTTGAATGACTCAAGGCAAATTGAAGAAAGGCTAAAACTAAGGATAATTTCTTTAGAGCAAGAGCTAATTCTCATGGAGGAAGAAGCAACTGATGTTTGGGAAAGATGGTTTGAGGCAGACAACGCATATGAGATCCTGATGGGAATTTCGAGAGACCTGTTGGGTAGACTCCAGATTTCTCAGTTCAATTTAAATGGTTTAAGTCAGCGTGAACGCGAGCTCAGAGCTAAGCTAGAAACTTCTATAGAACAATTGAAAGACAGGGATGTTACTTTGGATAAGATTGAAAGCAGCAGTGCTGAAGATAAACTAATTCTTGTCAATTCTGAGGTTGTCACTTTAAGTGACAAGGTGTGTTCACTTGAGAAGCAGCTAAAAGAATCTGAATGCCAGCTACTGAATGTGAAGGCCTCTGCTGATGAATATCAGAAACAGTATAATATTATGTGCTCTGAAATAAGAGAGATGGAAAACCTTATTGTTGAACTGAAAAATAATGTATCTAATGCAGAAAGTCGGGCTAATACTGCTGAAGCTGAGTGTAAATTATTGACTGAGACTAATGATGAACTCAACAAGGAGCTGGCTCTCTTGAAAGATGGTGGTGGCACATCTGAGAGGGTAGAGTCGCTTGAAAGGCAGCTAAGGGAATCTGATTTACAGCTGCAGCATGCAGAAGCTTCTGCTGAAGCTAGTCAAGAGAAGCAAAGTATGTTGTGTTCCACAATTAAAGATATGGAACATGTGATAAAGGATCTTAAGTCAAAGGTTTCTAAAGCTGAGAGTCGTGCTGACAATGCAGAGGAGAAGTGTATCATATTATCTGAATCTAATGCTGATTTAAATGAGGAAGTAAGCTTCTTGAGGAGTAGATTGGAATGCTTGGAGGGATCGCTGCATCAAGTGGAGGAAGCAAAAGTGGCAACTGCAAAGGATATTGGAAAGAGGACCAAAGTTTTCAAAAATTTGGTAACACAACTGGCTGTTGAGAGAGAGCGTCTTAATAAGCAGGTAAATACCAAGCTTTTCAAATCTTATTTCAGGCCACTGTGGTATAAAACCATCACGATATGTGATAGTAGGGTTTGTTTATAGGCTGCTAGGCCTCTGGCTCACATGATGTTTAATTTGAGTGTTTCTTCGCTCATTAGTCAACAGAAAGAGCTAGGATTTCAAATGGTATTGATTGATCTGCGTAGTATGATAACTGAATGTTGTATTAATTTAACTACGTATTAAACTGATGCTCTGTTTGTTGCGTCAGTTTGTGAATAACAATTGAGCAGTTGCAGCCTTTTTTTTTTCCTCCTCTTTGATTTTTCTACTTTCGGCCTGTAGATTTTGACCAATCTCATATCTTTTTCATGCATGGAGTTGTTCCAATTTGTTTTTAATTTAAATGTAGATAAACTTATGTACCAAAAGAAATGTAGATAAACTTAATAGAAAATTCAGAGGATGAAAATTTAGCAGTAGTTTACTTGGCTGATGGCATACATGGGGTTGTTCCAATATATCTTTAAAACATTTAAGTGAGATATTTCAAAAAAAATAAAAAAATAAAAAAAATAAAATGAATGAGCAGAAAGACTTCAAAACAAACCTGGTTGAATTTTTTGAATCATCTGCTAAAATGTGAGATATTCCAAAGGGAAAACCTTTTGTCATTAAAAACTAAATCTTAACTAAAGGTAAACTGAATATGTTATAGTCTTTACTATGCCTGTTCATGGTTTGTTGAAACTGTTGTATTTTATCTGCAGCTGTCTTCCTTAGCAAGTGAGAACAAAATTTTGATAGTGAAGCTAAACCAGACATATAAGGATCCTTCTCAAGAAGTTGGTGTGACTTTGGTCTCTGATAACGAGGTTAGTACTTTAGACTTTATCGACTTGTTTTCTATTTGTACATGTGACTGATAGGCAAGAATCTCCTAAGTAGTTAACTTAAAAGAGTAGTTAGCTTAAAGGTGTATGCTTTTTATATAATTCTTGTAAAAGTTGTACATGTTCTAAAATGATTATCTGAATAATAGTTGGCTACTTATATTATTCTTTGATTTATTTTGGGGGAAGTATTATTTGTATTATATTTACTAAAACTGTAAATGTAACATTTTATCATTGCTGTCAACCCACTTTCTGAAGTTTATAACAGTTTACAGATATGAGCATTCAGATAAAAGAGGATTTAAATATTTAAAATAAAGCTCATTGAAGAAAAAGGTGCACAGAGCAAAGTTCTAATTGTTACTCCTATTTTTCCTTTCCCAGGTGGACAGGACTTGGAAAAATTTATCTGCAAATGATGATGAAGTAAAGTTTGCTGATTCTATGCCAGATGTTGGGACTGTACGCAGAATAGATGCAGGAGTTCTTAATTTTAAGCACTTATTCATATTAGTGTTTGCCTTACTGGTTTCAGCTCTGACTTATCTGTATTTCGAGGACGTCAATGTTGATGTCAGTCTATGAATGAACTGATGTGAGGAATTCACCTTCTCCTTCTTTCTTTCTTTTTTTCTTTCTATTAGGTGGGGAGATTGATGGAGGGATAAGATGGCAGAACAAAGCATTGTGTAATAATCAAATTTTGTTCTAAGGGAGAATATGATTTTCTAACAAGTTTTGAGACTATACTTTTCTTTTATAACCATATGATGGATTTTTTATATTAATTTTTTGGTGATGAAGGGGTATGTTAAGCAGTTGTGAATTGTTTTAGTAGGCGATGAGAATCACTCTGGCTCTAATTTAAGGTCTGGTGAAAAGGAATTTTAATTTGAAATCAATAGCATTGGTGCCTCATAGGTAAGGCACACACCATAGAAATAAATTATTTTTTTAATATGATGTATAACATATAAATGAATTATATTAAGGCAATCTATATACTACCTTATCAGTATTGATATCATCTGATACTTGTTTTTGTTTAGAGAATTACGGGAAATAGTTTTCTTATGTTATGTTGTAAGAAAAAAATTATTTTATGTAGTAGAAACAAAAGTGCAAGTGGGACCCACATGTAAGAAGAGAGAAAAAAAATAAAAGTGGGATTCACCTCTCTTTTGTGTGTGTAGAAATTAGTTTCTTTTATGTAATATGAGATAAATATAACCCGAGAATTAATTGGCTAAAGTTCCAAAATTATATATATTAGTTAGGGATGGATTCTAAACTATCCCAAGGGTCGTATCCTTCAGGTGCTCCGTAGCCCTGGCAAACTAGTTTTGCGCTTGTTTTTTATTAGATTTATGCTGCTAAATTGTAACTGAAAAACATAATGAAAAGCTCCGATATCAATTGATACTAATCTTAGGAGAACTTCACTTCAAAAGCTAGCGTAGGAGAGCCCAAAGTTCGTATAAACTCTATATTAGAACTTTATATTTTCAACATGGCATTCCAAATCCAATACTTTGGAGTAATATCGTAACATAATGCAATTGAAACATATCTAAATATGGTAAAAGAAATAGAAGCAGTACAGAGTATGCTAGAGAAATGATAATCAAATTGAGGATTTTGATTCAGGGTCTTGACTAATAGAATAATGAATTTTAACCACCAGCCTACGAAAGATGACATAAATTAGAGAAGCAGAGACCAGTACTTGGAGCAGATTGACAACACTTGCCAGCAGCTCTAACCAAGGTTCACACTAATATATGTCAAGCAATATGCTCATACTTCATAGGGAAGCCAGTTAAACAACATTGAGTACACAATCTTAGTCGAACTAATTTAGTATCCAAGGAATGAAACTTTTGTTGAGAACATTGTTTGATGGCATTCATTTCCACCATTTAGCTTTGGATGATATGCAGATGCAAAATTAAAATAATTGGAGTCCAATCATATTGAAGGTATTGTTGATACTCGGGAATAGGGCTGATCGGCTCAGAATGTTAATAAGAACAAAATCAGAATGATTGTACATTCTTCGCCAATATCTAATAAAAGAACTGATACCGTTCTGGTTGAAGGAAGGATATTTGAGTATATGCATGTCACAGGTTCAAGTCTTGATAACAACTTTTCAATATATACAGGGAAAAAAAACACACTGACAGCAAAATTGTTATTTTTATTCCATTTGCAACTCGTTAATTTTCTATGCTAGAGAACATACTGTATGGTCTATCAAGCTCGAAGTTTAGCCTTATCAGTGCTGTAAGTTCCCTCCACCTAAAAAGAGTATGACTTATATCTGCCCTCCAGTCTTATTTGATGGTTGCATCCTAACAATCCCATGGTATGAAAATGAGTATATGGTTTATGAATCAAGTGAAGAAACCTCTGGAGAATCTAATTCAAATATGAATGCTTTTCCTTATAGATATAAATTATCACATGCTTGGATCCTCTCATCCACACCACCTTCAACAGTGTGTTTTTCACCCAGCAACAAATCTGCATGGATGATGAATTTATATCGAAGGTGACCAGATTGCTGGATAAACCATCCAAATCCCTTGGTTGTCCCCTACATTCAATGTTAAGGGTTTAACTAACCAGATTGCTACAGGCAGTCCCATCCATGTTAAGGGTTTAACTAACCCAAGCATCCATTCAATGTAGGTGAATCTGGAAGTCAATCTCAGCATATAAACAGCACAGCCTAAGCCACCATTAAGTGTAGGGCAATCTGGATTTCAATCTGGCTTCCACTTTTCTCTCAAGTTGCTCACATCTTGCCAAACTGCTGTTTAAGTCTCCAGCTCGTTTCTCCTGAAATATTCTAAGCTAAATGTAGAAATCTCCATTAAGCCCTTGAAGGAAGCATTTGATATCTTATACCACATTAACTCACACTACAAATGGTGGTTTTGAGCCCCTCATAAGGATCTTGTTCTTCCACCTCCTCATCAAGCATGAAATCAATATCTGGAACATATCCAGCCCACTTCATCTCATCCACAAGTAAATGAGTTTGCTCGTAGATCTCTTCAGATCTCGGATGTGCCTTGTCTCCAACAAGAAATGCGTGTACCTCGTTTCTTACTTCAATCCAGCTACAACCCGGCTCCTTCTTTAACTTATAATTCTTCATTATACCTCTTATTTTAGCGACCTCACCCCACATTCCTGCATTAGCATATACATTAGATAAAAGAACATAAGCAGAAGAATCTTGAGGGTCCAACTGCAATAAAGAATTGGCTGCTTTTTCTGCAACCTCCACATTTGCTTGTATCTTGCAATTACTAAGCAAAGTTCTCCAAATTACATCATCAGCTTTAAAAGGCATGCTTTCAATAAGCTTCAAAGCTTCATTTACTTGGCCTGACCTCCCCAGTAGATCTACCATACATGAATAATGCTCCATCTGGGGATCTAAACCATAGTGACTTTGCATTTTCTCGAAGTAATGCAGCCCTCTGTCCACATAACCCATATGTGCACAGGCTCTGAGGACTGAAATAAAAATTGTATAATTTGGTTTCACATTCAGAAGCTGCATCTCCTCAAATAATTTAATGGCGTCGTCTCCAAGACCATGGTATGCATATGCACAAATCATGGCACTCCAAGTCACATAGTCCCGCTTAGGTGCCTTCTCAAACATTAGCCGGGAACCCTGCATATTTCCACACTTTGAATACATATCTACAAGTGTGCTTGCTATATATACATCTGAATGCAACTGTAGCTTTAAGATTTGAGCATGAATCTGCTTTCCAAGTTCTATCGTAGCCAAATTAGCACAAATATCAAGAACGGTAGCATATGTGAAGTTGTCAGGTATTACACCCAGTTCCAGCATCTGAGAAAAATACCTCTGAGCATTTTCACTTTGTTTTTGCGATGAGAATCCTGAAATGATCGAATTCCAAGAAACAGTTGTTTGCTCTTCCATTCTGTCATGGATCTTTTCTGCTTCCACTAGCATTCCACACTTGCAATACATATCAACAAGGGCACTTCCAACAAACCAGTCTAAGCCCATCCCAGACTTGAGAATTCTTCCATGGATCTCCATACCCCAGTTTAAAGCTTTCTGACCAGCACATGCCTTTACAACGCTACCATAAGTAAAATCGTCGGGTTCCATCGTCGACCGCAGCATTGAAACAAAAAGTGAAAGTGTTCTCTCTACTTCTTCATTTTGCTCATGTGCTGCAATGATTGCATTCCAAGACACAGCATCCATTATGTCCATTTCATCACATATTAAACAAGCTTCCATTAGAGCTCCACATTTGCCATACATGTCTAAAATGGTATTTGCAACACAGATATTAAACCCTAAACCACATCTGACTGCTAATCCATGTAGTTGAATCCCCTCCAAATGGCCTTTGATCACTGAACATGCAGTCAAAGCACCAGACAAACTGATTTCATCGAAGCCAATATAAGACTTCTGTAAAGACTGAAAAATCTTTAAAGCTTTATGACCTTGATCTTGCCGAGCATATCCAACAATAATGGCATTATGAGATTGCCGAGTAGGATTGGGCAATGTGTTAAATAGCTTTTGGGCATCAGACATTCTGCCACATTTTGCATACATGTCCAATGTGGCAGTTCCCACTATACCATCGTATCCAAAGTCAGCCTTTAGAGCATGACCGTGCAACTGTGTGCCTAATTTAAATGCAGACAATCCTGCACAAGACCTAAATACACTAGCATAAGTTGATTGACTCACCCCCATACCTACTTTTAACATATCCTTAAACAGTTTTAATCCCTCAATAAACCGATCATTCTGAACATATCCTGCAATTACAGCACTCCAACAAACCAAGTTTCTTTCAGGCATTTCACGGAAAACCTGGAAAGCATCGTTTAGTTTCATACATTTGGAGTACATATCTACTAGAGCACTACCTGCCACCACATCATTCTCAAAACCCATCTGAATTGCAAGGCAATGCACCTGAAGCCCTAAACCACAGTCTTCAATACCAGAACAAGCTTTCAGAACAACGGCAAACGTAGCGTAATCATGTGGGATTTTCAGTGATCTCATATTAACAAAAATTTCAATTGACTTTCGATTAACGCCATTTTGTAAATAGCAAGAGAGCAAAGAATTCCAGGAAACCACATCTCTCTCAGGCATTGAGTCAAACAAAGACTGTGCAAACCCCATGTTTCCAATTCCAGCATACCCAAATATCATAGTGTTCCAAGAGATTACGTCCCTTTGAGGCATTTTGTCAAACACCTTGAATGCATAGTCCATATTGGAACATTTACAATAAAATTGAAGCAAACAGTTGGCAACATAGATGGTGGGCACAAAACCAGTTACCATCACCTGGGCATGGGCTTGTTTGCCAGGATTCAGAGCTCTTAGGTTGGAACATTTTTGGAAAATATGGGAAAATGTTAATTTCTTGGTGGGGTTCATTTGGATTGGGGAAATAGTACAAAATGCATAAGATGGCAGAGTTTTGTTGAGTGAGTTTGATAGGTAAGAGTTGGGCCTTACCATACAAAGGCCACAGGATACAGTACGATGTAACATCTACTGATGGTAGTACTATGTTGCTGTTTACATTGGCGGGAATTTCACACTTCAAAAAAATTTGGTTTTTGTTTCTCTTTCTCAGTGGTCTAGGTCGGAGAAGAAAGTTTCAAATAAATAAATAAATAAATCAAAAAAAAGAGGCTTAAGCAAAATACTGAAATTTAGTCAAAC